GCTTTCTGTCTCTATGTCTCTTTCTGTCTGTCTGGCGAGTGCACGCGCCCTATAGCGAAAACCTCTCCAAAAAAAAAAAAAAAAGGAAGAAGTAAAATGATCTCTATTCCGAGGTGGATTGTTATCCATGTAGAAAATCCAAAGAATACATAAAAGGTTATTAGAACCAATAAAGTGAATTTCATCAGGTGGCAGGATACGAGGTTAATACATAAAAATTCATCATGTTTCTACATACTCCCATACCTAGAGGCCTTGACCTACATGCCCCCCCATCCCAGTCTCCCAGTCTCTCAGTCTGCCATTTAAAAAAATATTTTGTTATCATTATCCTTCAATTTTGACCAGAGAGAGACAGATAGAGAGAAAGGGAGAGTGAGAAAGCAAACCTCCAGGTCTAGGACTTGAACCATGATCGACCATGAAGGAGTCCAGAACCTCAACTATCACACCACCTGCTGGCCCCACTGTCTGCCATTTTAATCAGCACACAAGTGGATGCTCGATTAACAGTACACCAACTAGGTACATTCTCATGGGAATTTAGAATTGGGATGGCCCCTGGGAAAAATGTATAAAAATTCAAGTGTAGTCAGACAGTTTTAGAAAGCCAGTTTATGAAGCAAGAAAAATGAATATGGATATACAGAAAATATAGATAAGAGAGACAGGGTAAAAGTATTCCCTGGGTTGTTGATGTTTTTCCATTGTTTTGTTTGTTTGTTTGTTATTGTTTTCTATTTGCTTCCTATAAGCTGTATTTTGTCTCTGGGATCCAAAGCTAAAATAAATTTCTTTTTTTCCTTAAGTGAATCAAATTGGCTTTTATTTCTTGTACAAACAAATCTTTCACTATTTTCAACCTGTGGGTATATATTTCATGCCTTCAGGTCTACTAGGCTCAGTCCACTAGCTCAATATTCACAACTCACAGAGTTCAACTCTCCTCCTCTTGGTAGCATATAATGCAACACTGCCACATAACACTTAATAGAAAATTCCATAATAAAATAATACATACGTATTATCTATAATGGTATAAGATTAATGATTCTGTTTCAGTAAAATTAATTAGTGTGCAAACTTCTCAATACTATAATTCCAAGTTCTAGAAAAATACCACTTTAAATAAAGGATAATATGAATGTTATATATGTCAGAGCAATCTACCTACAATAAGATCACCAAGATAAAGTACAGAAATCCCAGTTCAATTTGAATTTCAGAACCACGAAAAATTTTAAGTATATCCCAAATACTATATGGAACACTTTCATGTAACAGTAAACCATTTTTAATATAAAATATTTTATTGCTAAATTTGTCAACCCAGACTCATGATACTCAATATCATTAATCATTAAGGAAATACAAATCAAAACCATAATAAACCAGTGCATCATACCTACTAAGATGACTATAATTAGTTCAGATCACTCTTACCTGTGTTTTGTGTGATGTTTTCTCTAGGAATTTCAATCATCCAGACAATCTTATTACTGAACTTGAATAAAGACATCAGAAAATAATGTTAATAATAACACTTTATTTTGGCATAGTCTATCTTATATTTTTTAAAAAATTAAACAAATATATCCAAGCATTTACCCTTTATCCAATGAACTTAGAGAAACAGCAATTAAAATCATACAATATAAAAAGGGAAAAATGATTTCTTAAAAACTGGACAGCTTTAGAGATCTATGAGACAATATCGCATGTTTCAAAAATGTATAATTGGAGTCTCAGCATGAAAAGAGGCAGAAAAGGGGGGAACCAGCAGTTAGCGTAATGGCTATGTCGCTGGACTCCCACGTAGCCGACCGCAGTTCGTGTCCCGGACCCAGTGGCTTAAAACTCACGCTGGGTGTGTGTGCGTGCGTGCGTGCCCAAGATCCTGAGAGGAGAATGGAGGAGAAGGGATTGCTCTGTCTCTATGTCTCTTTCTGTCTGTCTGGCGAGTTGACGCGCCCTATAGCGAAAACCTCTCCAAAAAAAAAAAAAAAGGAAGAAGTAAAATGATCTCTATTCCGAGGTGGATTGTTATCCATGTAGAAAATCCAAAGAATACATAAAAGGTTATTAGAACCAATAAAGTGAATTTCATCAGGTGGCAGGATACGAGGTTAATACATAAAAATTCATCATGTTTCTACATACTCCCATACCTAGAGGCCTTGACCTACATGCCCCCCCATCCCAGTCTCCCAGTCTCTCAGTCTGCCATTTAAAAAAATATTTTGTTATCATTATCCTTCAATTTTGACCAGAGAGAGACAGATAGAGAGAAAGGGAGAGTGAGAAAGCAAACCTCCAGGTCTAGGACTTGAACCATGATCGACCATGAAGGAGTCCAGAACCTCAACTATCACACCACCTGCTGGCCCCACTGTCTGCCATTTTAATCAGCACACAAGTGGATGCTCGATTAACAGTACACCAACTAGGTACATTCTCATGGGAATTTAGAATTGGGATGGCCCCTGGGAAAAATGTATAAAAATTCAAGTGTAGTCAGACAGTTTTAGAAAGCCAGTTTATGAAGCAAGAAAAATGAATATGGATATACAGAAAATATAGATAAGAGAGACAGGGTAAAAGTATTCCCTGGGTTGTTGATGTTTTTCCATTGTTTTGTTTGTTTGTTTGTTATTGTTTTCTATTTGCTTCCTATAAGCTGTATTTTGTCTCTGGGATCCAAAGCTAAAATAAATTTCTTTTTTTCCTTAAGTGAATCAAATTGGCTTTTATTTCTTGTACAAACAAATCTTTCACTATTTTCAACCTGTGGGTATATATTTCATGCCTTCAGGTCTACTAGGCTCAGTCCACTAGCTCAATATTCACAACTCACAGAGTTCAACTCTCCTCCTCTTGGTAGCATATAATGCAACACTGCCACATAACACTTAATAGAAAATTCCATAATAAAATAATACATACGTATTATCTATAATGGTATAAGATTAATGATTCTGTTTCAGTAAAATTAATTAGTGTGCAAACTTCTCAATACTATAATTCCAAGTTCTAGAAAAATACCACTTTAAATAAAGGATAATATGAATGTTATATATGTCAGAGCAATCTACCTACAATAAGATCACCAAGATAAAGTACAGAAATCCCAGTTCAATTTGAATTTCAGAACCACGAAAAATTTTAAGTATATCCCAAATACTATATGGAACACTTTCATGTAACAGTAAACCATTTTTAATATAAAATATTTTATTGCTAAATTTGTCAACCCAGACTCATGATACTCAATATCATTAATCATTAAGGAAATACAAATCAAAACCATAATAAACCAGTGCATCATACCTACTAAGATGACTATAATTAGTTCAGATCACTCTTACCTGTGTTTTGTGTGATGTTTTCTCTAGGAATTTCAATCATCCAGACAATCTTATTACTGAACTTGAATAAAGACATCAGAAAATAATGTTAATAATAACACTTTATTTTGGCATAGTCTATCTTATATTTTTTAAAAAATTAAACAAATATATCCAAGCATTTACCCTTTATCCAATGAACTTAGAGAAACAGCAATTAAAATCATACAATATAAAAAGGGAAAAATGATTTCTTAAAAACTGGACAGCTTTAGAGATCTATGAGACAATATCGCATGTTTCAAAAATGTATAATTGGAGTCTCAGCATGAAAAGAGGCAGAAAAGGGGGGAACCAGCAGTTAGCGTAATGGCTATGTCGCTGGACTCCCACGTAGCCGACCGCAGTTCGTGTCCCGGACCCAGTGGCTTAAAACTCACGCTGGGTGTGTGTGCGTGCGTGCGTGCCCAAGATCCTGAGAGGAGAATGGAGGAGAAGGGATTGCGGTATGACCATCCCCCCTGGGGGGTGATTTCTTGCTTTCTGTCTCTATGTCTCTCTCTGTCTGTCTGGCAAGCGCACGCGCCCTATAGCGAAAACCTCTCAGAAAAAAAAAATAAAGAGGCAGAAAAGGGGACAGGAAAAAACTTGCAAATCATATGTCTGATAATGAACTTATATCTAGAATATTTAAAGAACTTTTACAACTCAGTGACAAAAAGACAGGCCTGATTATCATGGAACAGGTAGTAGCATGGTGCTCTGTAGTGCTGGAAGCCACATGGCTAAGCATGGGTTTGGATCCCAAGTTGACCTGAAACACATCAGGCATGCACATGCCTATGATCCTGACTGGCTGGAGGACTGAGGAAGGGAGATCGTGGTGTGAGAAGACCCTGTGGAGGATGTCCTCTCACCCCAGTCTCTCACTCTCATGGAAATAAAAAAACGTAAAATAATGATAGTAAAAGGACAACCCAATTATAAAATAGGTAAAGAATCTGAACAGATACTTCCTCAAATAAGATATTCAAGTGACCAATAAGCACACAAAAAAATACTTAGTATCATTAGTCATTAAGGAAATACAAGTCAAAACCATAATAAGATAGCACGTCATATATACTAGGACAACTATAACCAAAAAAAAGATAGATAATATCAAGTGTTGGTGAGGATACGGGGAAATTTGAACCCTAATAATATCGGTGCAAATGTAAGACAATATGACCACTTTGAAAAGCGGTCAAAAAGTTAAACATAGAGGTAAAGCAGCGGCAGCGGGGGAAGACGGCGGCCGGTGCTCCGCAGCGGGCGTGGACCGTGGAGCAACTGCGCAGCGAGCAGTTGCCCAAGAAGGACATTATCAAGTTTCTGCAGGAACACGGTTCAGATTCATTTCTCGCAGAACATAAATTACTAGGAAACATTCAAAATGTCGCCAAGACAGCTAACAAGGACCATTTGGTTACAGCATATAACCATCTTTTTGAAAGCAAGCGTTTCAAGGGTACCGAAAGTGTAAGTAAAGTATCTGAACAAGTGAAAAATGTGAAGCTTAATGAAGACAAACCCAAAGAAACCAAATCTGAAGAGACTCAGGGTGAAGGTCCACGAAAATACACAAAATCTATTCTTAAAGAAGGAGATAAAACCAACTTTCCCAAAAAGGGAGATGTCGTTCACTGCGGGTGTACAGGAACACCACAAGACGGGACGGTTTTTGATACTAATATTCAAACAAGTTCAAAGAAGAAAAAAAGTGCCAAGCCTTTAAGTTTTAAGGCTGGAGTAGGCAAAGTTATCAGGGGATGGGTTGAAGCACTTTTGACTATGAGTAAAGGAGAAAAGCCTCGACTGGAGATTGAACCAGAATGGGCTTATGGAAAGAAAGGACAGCCTGATGCCAAAATTCCACCAAAGGCAAAACTTTTCTTTAAAGTGGAATTAGTGGATATTGATTGAAATACAGTTCTTTAGATCTAAAGGCATCAACAACAATAAAACTTGGCCTTGAAGAAACTTACGTAACAAATAGAGCTTGTTACTATTGTAAGGGAAGATTCAACTGGAAAATTCAAAGTTAGAATCTGTTTATAACTTATCTCAACTTTTGAAAAGTGTAATCCCTTATAAATCACTAAAGTCTAAAATATTTTACTACAGCTATGTAAAATATTGGTTGAGATCTGTTTTTCCTTTTACCTCATATTGTAAACTTAAAGACTCAGTAAAAATTTATCTATTGTCTGGAAAAAAAAAAGTTAAACAGAGAGATACCCTATAACTCAGAGATTCCATTCCTAGCTACATACCCGAGAGAAATGATCACACATTTCCATATATAAACTTGGACACAAATGTTTATAGCAGCATTGTTCAAAATGGCCAAATAGCAGAAATAACCCAAGTGTTCATCAACTGACGGATAAACAAAATATGGCATATAATGAAATATTATTTGGCCATAAAAAGGAATGAAATATTGATATATACCACAACATGGAGAACCTTTAACAGATAGTTAACTGAAAGAAGCCCATCACAAACTCTACTTATAGTATTTTATTTACATTAAATGTTCAGAATAAGCAACTACTGAGACAGAATGCAGGTAAGTAGTTACCCAGAGCTAGGGAGTAAGGGGGAAAAGAGGAATTACTACTAATGAGTATGGACTGTCCTTTGGGATTATGAAAATGTCCTGGAATTAGACAGTGGTAATGGTCATACACTATGAATATAATAAAAACCAATGAATTGTACACTTTAAATAGGTAAATGATATAGTATGTAATTATGTCTTAATAAAGTTGTCACCAAATATATTAAAGTGAAATAAAGACATTTTGGGCGGGGAATGGGGGGCGACAAAAATTCATTGCCAGCAGATCTGCACTCTAAGAAATGCTAAAAGAAGTTCTTCAAGCTGAAGGAAAATGATGCCAGATGGCAAATGGTGTATTTAGAGAAAAGTGAAGAGCAATAAAAATAGCAAATATTTATACTATTTATGGAGGTAAATAATAAATAAGTTTTAAATTTTTGTTTAAAAATATAAGACTGTTTAAAACAGAACATATAACACTGTATTTCCAAATTATTGAGTTTAAAAAATATATAGATGTAACCAGCAGTTAGCGTAATGGCTATGTCGCTGGACTCCCATGTAGTCAACCGCGGTTCACGTCCCAGACTCGGTGGCTTAAAACTCACACCGGGCGAGTGTGCGTGTGTGCCCAAGATCCCGAGAGGAGAATGGAGGAGAAGGGATTGCAGCATGGCCATCCCCCCTGAGGAGTGATTTCTCGCTTTCTGTCTCTCTGTCTCTCTCTGTCTATCTTGCAAGCACACGCGCCCTATAGCAAAAACAAAACAAACAAACAAAAAAACCTCTGCAAAAAATATATAGATGTGATATTTCTGGACTACCCAATTTTAAAAAACACATCCTATGAGAAAGAGTAGGTATCTTGTTAATTACAGAATAAAAGGAAAAGATAATTACCAAAGTTAAATTAAATGGGAAGATGCCATTATATGTACTATTTGTGATTCCCAAGCTGGGAGCAAGTCCTCCTGATGTGAATAGACTTCGCATTCCTTTTGAAGTGAGTTCATTTTCAGTTTGGAAAAAACACCGGACTTTCTTTAGAAAAAAAAGAGAAAAAAATGTCAATTTAATGGAGAGGAGCATATTACATTCATTTAAAAGTGAGAAGAAATCTGTGAAAAGTAGATGCTGCTAAACATCACTATCTTTAGTAATTCCCCTCTATAGCTAGAATATCCATTTTTCAAAGTACACTTTCAGGGGCCAGCAGGTGGCGTGGTGGTTAAGGGCGCTGGACTCCTACATGAGCCACTGCAGTTTGAGTCCTGCACTTGGCAGCTTGCTTTTTCACTTTCTCCCTTTCTCTCTCCCCCCTCCCTCCCTCTTTCTCTTTCTCTCTCTCTCTCTCATTCTGTCCTTTTCTGGTCAAGTTAAATATATAAATAAAAAATAAAGTTAAATAATTATTTTAAAAATTTTAAAAGCACACTTTCAGAACTCAGTAACCTATGATGATTTCATCCACAGAATTCTCTGACACACAAATGGTAATGAGATTATTACATTTAATAAACATAGAATCGGGACAAGCAGTTGGCATAATGGCTATGGCGCTGGACTCCCATGTAGTTGACTGTGGTTCGAGTCCCGGACCCAGTGCCTTAAACTCACACTGGGTGCGTGTGTGTGTGTGCCCAGGATCCCGAGAGGAAAATGGAGGAGAAGGGATTGCGGTGTGGCCACCCCCCCCCGGGGGGGGGTGATTTCTAGCTTTCTATTTCTCTGTCTTTCTCTGTCTTTCTGGCGAGTGCACATGCCCTATAGCAAAAACCTCTCCTAATAAATAAATAAATAAATATAGAATCAAAGTCACATGCTATCACATGCAGAAATTCTGATTTTATTGAATTTGCTATTTTGTATATAAATAAAAAGGAAGCAAATGCATAAAGCAAAGCTCATCTTACTATATGTTTATTGGATATTTCCTGGCTTTAAGAAGGTATGTGAAAATGTAGCAAAAATGGTGGATTTCACTAAAAATGGACATGAGACAGATGCTAGGAGCTTTATCTTGATTAATTCTCCTAATAATTAGGATCACTTTGGACAAGTTCCCTGAGTTTCAGTTTCCCTGTCTAAAAACACATTCATTCCAAAAATATCTACTGAGCCATTATTTCATGTGTCAGCTAGTGTTAGAGGTGCTAGGAATACAGGAGCTATAAACAGACGCAAATCTGTCTTTTTTTTTTTGGAGAGGTTTTCACTATAGGGTGCGTGCACTCGCCAGACAGACAGAGAAAGACATAGACAGAAAGCCAGAAATCAACCCCCAGGGGGGATGGGGCTTATGCAGCATCTGAGACAGAACTGGAGTGCAATGTGATAGGTGCATCTGCAGTAGAAACAAAATTATTTTAGTTACATTTATTCTTTTTTTTTGTTTTTGAGAGGTTTTCGCTATAGGGTGTGTGCGCTCACCAGAAGGAGGGAGACAGAGTGATAGAAAGCGAAAATCACCCCCCAGGGGGGATGGTCATGCCGCAATCCCTTCTCCTCCATTCTCCTCTCGGGATCTTGGGGACGCACGCACATGCGCTCAGCGTGGGTTTTAAGCCACTGGGTCTGGGACACAAACCGCGGTCGACTACGTGGGAGTCCAGCGACATAGCCATTACGCTAACTGCTGGTTCCCGCAAATCTGTCTTTGTAAAATTTACGTTCTAGTGAGGATTGGCAGGGAGATAGCTGTGTAGATGAATGGGAGGAAAGATAGAGCAAATAAAATAAATATAGAATACATTTTTGTTTTTAAGAGAGATTTTTGCTATAGGGTGCATGTACTCGGCTGAGAGGCAGAGAGAGACAGAGATAGAAAGTGAGAAACCACTCCCTATGGAAGATGACCATGGCACAACCCCTTCTCCTCCATTCTCCTTTCAGGATTTGGCGCACGCACGCATAAGCGCCTGACGTGAGTTTTAAGTTGCCGGATCTGGGACTCAAACCAGTTGACCACGTGAGAGTCCAGCAACACCATCCGCTGGTCCCAATAAGTGTAGAATACAGGAGTTTGAGAGGAGAGTCTAGTTTTTAACAATTATAAAGGTAAAAGATAATAGTTCTAATCTCACAGAAAATTAAACGTCATAAGAGAAAACATTGAAAAATTCCTGACATACATAAACACTTTGTTAATTGTTATTTCTAATAATACCACTACTATAATTACTATACCATAAGTACCCAAAACGTTGGTTATAATTCCCTTCTTAAGAGGAAATAACTAAGGGTCAGAGAAGTTAATCTGCCCCATGGCACATGGACCACAAAGAACAAGACCAAGATTTGACCACAGCTCTGAAAACCAGTCTTTTTTTTTAAAATTATTTATTTATTTATCCACTCATTTATTTTTTAATTTGACCAGAGAGAGACACAGAGAGAGAGAGAGAGGGAAAGTGAGAAAGCAAGCCACCGGGTCCGGGACTTGAACCGTGGTCGGCCATGTGGGAGTGTCCAGCACCTTAACCACCATACCACCTGCTGGCCCTGAAAACCAGTCTTTCTTCAGAGCCCATTCTTTCTCCATTGAAGATCATCTCAAATCAGAAAGGCATTTTGAACTCAGTGGGCATGTGCTTCATCACAGTCGTAAATACAAATCTTAAATATATAGTTGGCATATAAAGAAGGAACTCAGGGCTCAGCCACAGAGTGTGTGCTGGCAGAGGCTGTGACTCAACAAGCTGAGACCACCCGGGCCGTCTGAGTCAGGCACGGTGGCATGTGCCTGCAGTCTCAGCTATTCTGGAAGATGAGGCAAGGTCATGAACTAGTGAGACCCTTTCAAAAAAGAAGCAGCAGCAGCAGCAGCAGCTGGGGTCTAAGTTACCAGACTTAAAGATAAATGTAAAAGTGCATTTTTCCTTGTGGAGTGCTTTCTTTGCATCTTATTTATAATAGATTTGTAGGCAATCTGTGCATTTTATTTTATTTTATTTTATTTTTACTAACTTATATTTTGCTAGCATTTGCTGAATGGCTATCTTTTTGATTTTTGATTTTTATTATCCTCATAATCTTCTTTATATTACATTGGATTACATATAACTTTACAGTGTACTATATTGCTTTTTCAAAAGGGAATGCCATGCATGTCAGTCAATACAGAGATACTAATCTCCCCACTTCATCATTCGATATCTTTTCTATGTTTTTCCCAATCATTATTATTATTATTCTAGTTATTTTATAAAACAGTCAATCACTATTTCTCATTTTACTTGTAAAAAGACTTTACCCATCATGAAATACTTCTCAGACCAATCCAGTTGAGAATACTATACATGTCATCAACAGTTAATAAGCCATATCTGTTTCTCATTAACGTCCTGC